GTACAGATTCAGGCAGAGTTCTCCATGAAGAAACAGTGAAGGAAGAAAAACCTTACACATGGTTCTCAGACATCAAAATATGTTGGTACTAGCTGGAAATGAACTGCTACCACATTACAACTCCCACTCAAAAGTATTCCTAAAAGTACTGGTGAGTAAAACCCTTCCAATGGGCAGACAATTATGCAGTACATTTGGTTGCAGAACTTACACAAAATATTGCAGAATTGACATATTGGATAAAAACAGGCACCTATACAAATGATTTTGACAATTGTTCAGGAACCAGGATCTGAATGATCCATTGCAGTGAGGTCTAGTAAAAAGGTCTATGGGTGTACTTATGGCACTAAATATGGAGAGATTTGTCCAAAGTGAATGCTCACTGAAAAATTATCTACCACAGAGGAAGAAAAACAGATGGACAGAATGATGAATTCCATATGAATGTCAAACATCATCCATCAGCCAAATGTTGATGAATTCCTCAATCTGAATTGAGTATTTACAGCGGCAGGGATAACAACTCTGTATGAACTCAACAAAATAGAATTCCTCTCACCAAGACTAGATCTAGCTACTGCCCAAGTTAAGTGCTCACCCCCCGCCAAGTACAGACATCAATCTTAGCGACTCAGTGATGGATAGTGCCATCCATTCACTAGACATCTTCCATCATAAAACACCAGGAATTTTTCTTCATTAGAATCAATATCTACTCCATTTCATCTTCCCAACCTATACTGTCTATATCAACTCCAGTATTTAAGAGTTCCTATGTTCCCAATCCATCCACATTGTATTCCTTGCTACATTACCTCAAAGAATGCATTTTAAAGTAAAGGAGGCATAACAATGAGCCCATGACCACAGGATTCACATTCTCTGATCATGGTAGCTATCACATTACCAGAAGCAGTCAGCCTGAGAGAACAAAGGAAAAACTTAAAGAACCTGTCAGAGAACAAACAAGTGCAGATGTCACTTTGACTATACATTTTTGCCTCTCTGGGATATATTCCCAGGAGTGGTATTGCTGGGTCAAATGGGAGCTCAATTTCTAATTTTTTGAGAATCGTCCATACTGTTTTCCAAAAGGGCTGAACCAGTAGGCATTCCCACCAGCAGTGACGGAGAGTCCCTTTCTCGCCACATCCACGCCAACACCGGTTGCTTTTGTTCTTTGGATGTGGGCCAGTCTCTGTGGTGGAGGGATGGGTACTCAATCATTGTATAACCGAAACCCAAGCACAAAAATTTATAAGTCTACAACTGTACCTCATGGTGTTTCACTAATAAAAATTAAAAAAAAAAAAGAACCTGTCAGGCTTTCATAGAAGGGATTCTCCAGGATATCTACTTAGAATCAAAGACCTAAAAAAAAGGTGCAGGCTACATGGATCTGGGCACCAGGAGGCATAAGCAAGAGAAGTAATCCTTTAACCTAACTCTCCCTAGCAGAATTTATATTTGTTGTCCTAAAAAGTCAAATTCTGCCAATTTAGATTTCCAATTTCTCATGGGGGGTGGCATTCAAGAAGGTGGGGAAAAAACACTTCCACCAAATGGCTGAACCTGATTGTTACCACCTGGCCACTTTAGGTTCCTTATGCTCAAGAACCAGCAGATAAAGAAACATTACTCACACTCACCCCAAAGGTAATCAACACTGATTATCACAAGGAATTTGGGTTGCTACTATACAATTAAAGAACTTAGAGAATTCCATAGTTCACCTCTTATTACTTATGATGTTTAGTAATAACTGTTCATAGTAATGGTAAATATACAACCTACAAAAACAAAACAACCAAGCCCTCAGGTCACTCAGGTCTGGAATTTGTCCTAGACTTGCTACCCAAACCAGCGTCTGTACCTGTCTAGGGAGAAGGAAACTGAAAAGATGCTGGAGAAAACATCAAAATTAAGTCTGCTGTCACAACAGTAAGCATTGGAGCTCAGCTCACAAGTTTTCTCAGAGTACTTTTTAGGAGATCGCAAGTGAAGAGGTTCTGTGACCAGTTGCTTTTGTTCCTCTTCTCTCCAGGACACAGGCCATATTCGTCTTCTACCAGAAGTTTCATCACTCCAGCATGAATCTAGATCTCAAATGAAGGTTGAGTAGGACACCAGACACAGTTTGTGCATCTCTCCAGCTCTGTCAATCTTCATCTCCCTCTTGGACCTTGGATGGAAGCATCTTCTGTGTGCTGTCTTGGCGTCTCTGAAGCTAGACACTGGAAGAAGCTTCAGCTGTTTGGGCTCTCGAATTTGTCTTAGTCACTACAGAAGCTCTAGCTTCTCCTATAAGTCATGTAACAAACTTAGGATTGCAAAAGTTAGTGCTCTATGAAGAAAATGCTTGACTGAACTCTCAGGGAAAAGTAGCCTTTATTACTTGTCTGGAAGAAGAACACATAAGATAGAATCAAATTTTGTTTTAGCATGAAGCTATAGCCAAGAGGTAATGCAGGACCTTATCTCTGCATCCCCTCCCTAATTTCCACCAATATCCTTCTATTTCACCTCCCCATAAAGCACTGGCACATAAGCTTTGTTTAAATTGTTGTTTCCTACAGAATGAGAGCTAGAAAAATAATGGTTGTATCATAGGCACTTAGTCTCTTTCAAGCAAATGCAGAAGGCCTATGGGGCAAGCAGCAATAGCTATACTGAGAATATCTGGCATCGTTATTCAAGTCTTCATTGGAAATAAATATTCCAAAGGCTTAAATCTGAAGAGGGTGCATTCTCGCTCAAGACTCAGAACAGATTTATATCAGGTCACCTTAACTATAGCACATGCTTGACTATGATTTAAAGTAGCCCCTTGTGCAATATAATTTAGAATATAAAGAAAATGGACTTAGCCAAAATGACTCATCAGACACATTATGTAATCCTTATAGATTTGTGTGTGCAACTTGAGTCTATTTGGCTGGGCAGAGTCTATTATCATAATAATCTGAGGATCAAGCATTCATCTAGTCCTTCAACAAATAATTATATGATATGAGAGGGATGACCATCAGATTTTGCAACAGATTCAGATTCTTGGACATAATAGAGAAGCTATTTTTCCTTTGCTCTTGACTCAGTCTTGTTACCAATTACCCATGGCCTCAGAGAAGCTAACTAAGAAAAAATAAAGGAACCACTGGAATCAAATTCCATCATGATTCAGCAAAGATACAGCTTAATGGCTGCTGAATCAAACAGTACCGTCCATCCACACTAGCCCTATCCAAGTTTCAATATATGTTAGCCCCTCTGAAATCCAATCTTCCAAAGATATTTTTCCCCAAGAGGTACCAATGTTACTCTGAAACACTATAATTCATACAATTATTGGTTTATTACAGACAGCAGCTAACACTGATTTCCACTGTTTGCCTGTATTAAAGGCTGCCTGTTGCCAAGGCACTCGAGTAATCTCTCTCTCTCGTTAATTAATGTTTTCAGGCATTTGTCTGGAAAACAACAGTAGCTGCTATGTAATTGGTACTGGTTACTGCAAATTACATGGTTACTTCATCCCTGGCACTATAATCAACATCATCATCATCATCAATATTTATTGAATGCCACTTAAGTGCATTCGTTTCCACTAAATACTTTAATCTGTCCTGCTGCACAGCTGTCCAAAGAAGCTAATCACAAAAAAAATAACAAACTAATCCTATAACTGTTTTATGACTTTTGAAAATAAAAGTTGTCTTACTTATTTTTGCAAACGAATGATATAGAGATATAAACATCAGTGGATTTTACCTATATCTACCTATATCCAATAATCTAGTAACTTGAGATCTGATCATCAGATGTCTGACAATATAGAATCTCTAATTATTTGCTGCTTCGGAGAGCCCGGCAAGCTACCGAGAGTATTCGATATGCCAGACACAGTAACAACAAAGTCTCCAATGGAGACGTTACTGGGCCCGCTCGAGCAAATCGACGATCAACAGGAGGGCCTTTACCTTTACCTTTTAATTATTTGCTAAATAAATGAAGGCATGAAAAGGCAGGAAAGTTTTAAACAAAAAATTTAACAAATAAGTATGCAGATATTTTATGGCAAAAAAAGATATATAAGATCTATGATCTTATAACAAAAATGAGTTTGATTAAGAGAGGCTGATGCTTCTTAAGTGGGTACTCAGGGACATAACACTGTCCTCCATAAAGCAGTTTGTTCAGAAAAAAATCGAGTTTTTTAAGGAAAAAAACAACCCAGGGGCCCCAAGTATAGGAGAGCAGTTAGGATCTTCCTTCCATACAGCAAACCTGGATTCAGCAAACTTATGGTCCCCCAACCACTGCCAGGAGCAATCCCTGAGTGCAGAGTCAGAAGAAAGCCTTGACCAACATCACTGAGCCCCGAATTTTTTAAAATCTGGCCCAGAGAGATAGCTCGAAGGACTGAACATATGCTTGCGAGCAGCAGGCCTGGGTTCAATATTCAATACCACCTCATCCTCAAAGCACCTCTAGGGCCAAATACCAAGCACAAAACAGAGGAATTTCCTGCTGCACAAAATTCAGGGTTTTTCCCACTTCGAACCTGACATTTTCACCACTTCCGCATAAGATGGTCAACCTTGATTAATTTGAGAGCTAACCATAAACTCAAAGAAAAATGATGAAAAATAGCTCTACATGCTAAAAGTAGTCTATAGACCAAACATGATTGCCACTCAATGCCTCTCTTGCAAAACACAGTACCCAAAAGAAGAGAGAGAGAACAAGGGGGAATGCCCTGCCACAGAGGCAGAGTGGGACGGGGGGAATGGGGGGTGGGAGGGATGCTGGGACCCGTGGTGGTGGTGGATGGGCACTGGTGGAGGGATGGGTACTTGATCATTGTATAACTGAAACCCAAGCACAAAAATTTGTAAGTCTATAACTGTACCTCATGGTGTTTCACTAATAAAGAAATTTTTTAAAAAAGAAAGAAAAATAGCTCTACAAGCAAAAGTAAGCTTAAAAAGCCAGAGACAACCATCCTGTTCCCTTCTCCATGGGATCTGACACTGGTCTTAGTGGTTGTAAAAGGAGGAAGAGTAATAGAAGCTGGCCTCAAAGGGCTAGTAGTCAACCAGGAAGCACATGGACTAGTTTCAAGCAAGGTATAAATGAAAGAAAAATAAGGCAGAGATAGCCATACTTATATAAAATTGGCTTCGTCAGGGAGATGGTACAGCACATAGAGGTCTTGCCTTACACATAGCCAGCATTGCTTTTGGTCCCCTAATGGCCTAGAGTGATCCTAGAGCACTGAGCCAGGAGGAAGCACTGCCCTAAGGCCCCAAAACCAAATAAAATAAAATGGAATAAACCTTAAGAAAATAATAAGATGTCAGTTACCTTAAATGATCAATCAAAAGACATAATATTCACTTGATATCACTTGATCACTTGATCACTTGATATCCCATTACTCATTGATTTGCTGGAGCGGGCACCACTAACGTCTCCATTTGTCCCTATCGTGTGTTAGTGTAACCCAATGGCTTCTGCTCGCTACAGAAACATGAAGAGCCTCAAACGGATCGTTCAGGGTCTTGACAAAGAAGTCTGACCATCTCGTAGGTGGGGAGCCACATGTTCTTTTGATGTCCCGTGGAATCCAGTCGGTAAGAGCTTTACTTCAGCGGTCATCTTCAAATCGCATTACGTGTCCAGCCCATCTGATTTTCAACACCTTGGCAAACAAGGCATCCCTAGTTCTTGATCATTAACAGAGGTTGGAACTCCGGATTCCTTCTCTCACTTGAGTTAAGCATGATACTCTAAGCATAGCTCTTTTGATTCCTCTTTGAGAGACCCGAATAGCATTCTCATTCTGTTCTCGTAGGTCTCTGAGGCATATGTTAGTGCAGGAAGAACAGTGGAGTCGAAGAGATGTGCCCAGAGCCAGAGGTTCTTCATCCTCTTAGCTATTTCTTCGACGCTCTTGACGGCATTCCATGTCGCTCTCTTCCTCCTGCGCAACTCAGGTGCCAGGTCGTTCATCATGTTGACTTCTCGACCTAGGTACACATAACTGCTGCATTCAGAGATGTTCATTCCGTTGAGAGCAAATGGAACGTCAGGAACAAGTTCGTATTTCATGAACATTATCTTCGTGAGATTCAGCTGTAGTCCGACCTTTCCACACTCATGGTTGAAGTTGGCCAGCATTTGTGCCACTTAGCTAATGCTTGATGTTATTAGAATGATGTCATGAGGAAGCAAAGGTGGTGTAGTTGCCGACCATCTATCTTCACTCCCATTCCTTCCCATTGCAGTCGTCGCATGATGTTCTCAAGGGTGGCGCTGAAGAGTGATTCATTTGAATTCATTAATATATACACAACAAATAAAGGAGCATCAAAATATATAAGCCACTGCTAGCAGGAATGGTGAGGCACCTGGTGAAGCACCAAGGGGGGATATTTTAAGCCCCCATTCTCATCAATTGATACATCAACCATATTAAAATCAACAAGTAAATAGCCCCAAATAAGGGATTAGGCCAGAGGAGTTTAATCAGTATCTACAGAACTCTCCACCTACCCTCAGTCACATACCCATCCCCAACAAAAGTCAAGTAAAAACCATTTCTTCTCAAGCACATAGAACACACACCAAAAAAAAAAATAGTGTTAGTAGGTTTACCAGATTAAAAATATACCAAGTATCTTTTTTAAAAAAATTTTTGTATAAAATCAAGCACCAAAGAAAACTGAAAAAAAAAATCTCAAACATATGGAGAGTAAACAAAATTCTACTGAACAACTACCAGATTGATGATAAAATCAAGTCAGAGATAGTTGAAACCTGTAAACAGAAAAATAACAGGGTAGGCCTTGACAAGCAAGGCTCCCCACTAAAGTACAACCTGAAATCAACTGACTCCGAATCACCCAGTCACAATCTGGTTGTGAGACACTTGTTCCTGTATATCCACGTAAGCTACGCGATTGTGGGACAGAATGAAATTGAGGGAAAGGATCAACTGTGAAGAGATCACTGAGCAGTGAAGGACAGATAAGCTGCCATTGATGTGGGCTGACCTTCTGAGGCAGGACTAAGAACAACACAAAAGATGACAGTCAATCCCTTCAGTCAAACATGAACAGATTCTGGGATTTGGGTACAAAGAAAGAAAGAAAGAAAGAAAGAAAGAAAGAAAGAAAGAAAGAAAGAAAGAAAGAAAGAAAGAAAGACACCAACAATAAAAATTAAGAACAACAAACAAAACAACAACAACAAACAAAAAAAGTCATGTTTTCAAGTAACAACAGGATCAGCTGATCTTTTCCTAAGAGTTCCTTTCTTAAGAGAATAGCAGAGCAATCAAGTCACACCAGACACAGAAACAGACACCTTTGTAAATGCAGAGGAAATGGGAAATGGGAGTGAGCACAGCAGCTGAGGGACAGCATGGCGTTGTTCCTGTTCTCTGCACACTCTTCACAAGCAGGCAGCACAGTGAGGGGGCCCTGGAGGTTTTCTCTCTCCTCAAAGCCGTCACTCTCACCATCCCCCATTAAGGCCAGGGACAAAGGAGAATTCCAACCCTGAAGCCACAGTGCCACCTGCAGGTACGCGAGAGAGAAAAACCTAGATGCAAAGCAGGAAGATGCTGTAGGCCAATCTTTGTAAATTCAAGCAGGAAGTCCTCAAAGAAAAGGACAAGTATTCAGAGGTTAAACTTGAAGACGCTGAATTGGAGCAGGTTTTAAAAAGAGTGGAAAAGAGCCATCATAACAAAAAAAAAATTAGAGATTCAACTAAATACAGAGTAGTAAATTCAAGATATCACTGTATCACTGTCATCCTGTTGTTCATCAATTTCCTCGAGCAGGCACCAGTAACGTCTTCACTCGTCCTAACCCTGAGATTTTAGCAAGTGCCACATTGGAGGCTCCTTTAGGGTTAGGGGAATGAGACCCGTCATTGTTACTGGGTTTTGGCATATCGAATACGCCACGGGGAGCTTGCCGGACTCTGCCATGCGGGCAGGCTACACTCGGTAGCCTGTCAGGTTCTCCAAGAGTCAGAACTAGACAATAATATCTTTTTTTAAAAAATGAAAAGGAATTTTCCCCCAAAGAGACTGATGATGTTTAAAAATTTCAAGATGTTGAGTATGAAGGAAACATTGAATGAAGCCCTAAGCAACATGGAAAATGAAACAAGCAGACTCAATCTTGCAGAAGAAAGAATATTGGAAATTAAAGGTAAAATCATACTAATGGTTCAAATGGAAGAAGAGAGGGAAACACGATTTGGGGGGAAGGAAGGACATGAACAGAAAATATCAGAATTTATAAGGATAAACATCAGAGTTATGGCTGTACCAGAAGATGAGTGATAGACAAAGTGGTCTGCAGCCATATTCAGAGAAATGCTTCCTGAGAATATTCCAAATCTAAGAAAAGAATTAATCAGAGATGTCTAAAAAGTTGAGAGAACACTCAACTTTTGGGTTTGAGGGCCACACCTGGCAATGTTCTGGGGTTGCTCTTGGCTCTGTGCTCAGGAACCACTTCTGGTGGTGCTTGGGGATCATATTGGATGCTGGGAATTGAACCCAGATCAGTCACAAAGCAAACACCCGACCCTCTCTACTATTTCTCAAGCCTCTAACATTCAAATTTTAAATTTAAAATGACCCACATGAAGACATATCATTGTTAAATTATCAAAAATCAGTGATAAGAGGGGGTGGCCACATTTTTTTAATTAATACTTCTGTGAGCACTCCTGTGGCAACAGCACAAAGAATATATAAAAACTGAACAGAGCACAAGAAATCTCTTTGAAGAAAACAGTCATCACCTTAGGGAAAATTCATTGAGGGAAACTGTCCTCACCTTAGGGAAGATGCAACTCTGCAGAAGGCAAAACTACTGACAAGTCCAGAGCTAAGGAAGGGGAGGGAGAAAGTAGTGGTTGAAAAAGTAAAGGAACCAGCAAATCCAGCAAGCTGGTACCAGACAGGAAACACCAACTGAGGGTGAGAGGCTGCCAAATAGAAGGGATTTTAAAAACATCAGTTTTAAACAACAGCACTAAGTTGAAAGAGACTGGGGTTTTGTCAAGCTCCTAGAGGTAACTGGTAACAGCCATTACAGAGTAAGCCATGGCCAACAGTGACAAACTAAAGCTGGATGGGAGGGAAAGGAAGACTGGTGGGGTGGGGTGAGGGGACTGTCATTGCTATATAAGCCCAAATCAAACCAAAAAGAATGTCTCAGATAATCAATGTAACCTTATACTTGAGTATTCCAGAAAAGGAGCAACAAAGAGAACCAGAAGTCAATGTGATAAAAGAAATAGTGGAGATTAGCATAAATAAAATGAAATAGCTCTATGAATCAAAATGGCTCTATAATAAATCAGTGAAACCAAGAGCTGGAATTTGTATAAAACATAAAAAACCTCAAATAGCCAAAGCAGTCCTGAGACAAAATAAGAATGGAGGCACAACCATGTCTCAACTTCAACTACTACAAAGCTACAGTAATCAAAACAGTATGGTGTTAGAATCAAAATAAATACATAGATTAATGAAACAGAATTGAGAATCCAGAATTAAACCCTTTACAAACTGACAGTTTTTGACAAAGAAGTCGAGAATATATAATGGATAGTAGAAATTATTTTCAGTAGATTTTTTGATAAATTCTCTTCTTTTCCCCAAAAGTGTTTTTTGGGGGAAATTGGATAGCCACGTACAAAAGAATAAAATTAGTTCATTATCTCAAGTCACGAAAAAACTTCAATTCAACAATATATTAAGAACTTGAATGTCAGCTCAAGTCACGCAAAGCAAGTCCCTGATCCACTATCTACTATATCCCCCAAACTGAATTTTAAAGAAATCATATATACATTAGGGGCTGGAGCGATAGCACATCGGTAGGGCGTTTGCCTTGCACGCAGCCAACATGGCCGACCCGAGTTCGATTCCTCCGCCCCTCTCGGAGAGCCCGGCAAGCTACCAAGAGTATCTTGCCCGCACGGCAGAGCCTGGCAAGCTCCCCGTGACGTATTTGATATGCCAAACACAGTAACAACAAAGTCTCCAATGGAGACGTTACTGGGCCCACTCGAGCAAATCGATGATCAACGGGAGG